GATTGTTGTTGATCGCCGAGTGTTTGAGTGCTGAGTGCTGGGACCTCTTATCGGGTGTGAAAAGTGTTTGGCAGCTCTGGCGCTTGATAGTGACACAGCGGTGGTTAGTTGCCAAGTTGCCATTTATTTAATTTTATGCATTTACTTTGTTTTAATTTTAGCGTTTTGGCAAACTAAAATATATATTAAAATCTATATCAATCGATATTTCATTAATATTAATATTATAATTTCAGTTAGAAGCTTAGAAAGCAGTTAAGAACCCGTAAATAATATATTTTTGATCACATCAACCAATTTTTCAAAAATATGTAAGGGGTACCATCATTAAAATTGAGAAAAATTGGGAAAATATGAAATTGAAAAGAGCCATAAACGTAGTTTTGCAGTTTAGTTAAGCTTAGAAAAACTAACTCAGAACAGCTTTTCGAATTGAGTTTCATGCACTTTTGACTTAGTTATGATTTTTTGAATATTAGTTTTTTTTTCCCAAAAACTATCCTTTTTTAAATTTAATTGCAGGAAGCTGCCAGGAACTCAAAGCGGATGCCGATGGCGAGAAAGAGAGCGTTGGCAAGGAGGATCAGGACGAAGAGGAGCAGAAGCGGACCAGGTGCTGGGGCAGCACGACGAGGGTGCCATCAAGACCGAGCCGAAACCACTGGAAACGACCTCCGACATGTCCACATACCTAGCCTTTTCTTCTTTTATTTATTTAAAGCTGAAGTAAATAAAAAACCTTTAAAAATTTGTTATTTTTGACTTATGAGGAGGATGCGGTTTTTTTTTGGGTGGGATAATTTAAACAGGCTCAATAGAAGGGCATTCTTGCGGTGGACAATGGAAAAAACATCAAATATGGCAAAATTGCTAGATCAGCATCACTGGCAGTTAGTAAGATGCCATTTTGCCTACATAATGCAAAATAGCTAGATGAGCATCACTGATAGTGAGAAATAAATTCAAAAAGTTCAAAATAGCTAGATGAGCTCACTGGCAGTTAGTAAGATGCCATTTTGTCCCAATAATGCAAAATAGATAGATGAGCCAGTGACGGCAGTTACTGAAATGCCATTTTGTCCCATTAATGCAAAATAGCTAGATGAGCATCACTAGCAGTAAGTGAGATGCCATTTTGTTTCAATACGGCAAAATAGCTGGATCTCACTCACTGGTAGTTAGTGAGATGCCATTTTGTCCCAATAATGCAAAACAGCTAGATGAGCATCACTGGTAGTTAGTGAGATGCCATTTTGTCCCAATAATGCAAAATAGCTAGATGAGCATCACTGGCAGTTAGAGAGTTGCCATTTTGTCCCAGTAATGCAAAATAGCTAGATGAGCATCACTGGCAGCTAGTGAGGTGCCATTTTCTCTCAATAATGCATAATAGCTAGATGAGCATCACTGACAGCTAGTGACATGCAATTTTCTACCAATAATGCAAAAAATAGCTAGATGAGCATCACTGACGCTCATGAGCATCACTGCCATTAAGCCCGACTTTATTGCCCCCAATACTGAAATATAGCCAGATGAGCATCACTGATGCAGATGAGCATCACTGATGCAGATGAGCATCACTGATGCAGATGAGCATCACTGATGCAGATGAGCATCACTGATGCAGATGAGCATCACTGATACAGATGAGCATCACTGATGCAGATGAGCATCACTGATGCAGATGAGCAACACTGATGCAGATGAGCATCACTGATGCAGATGAGCATCACTGATACAGATGAGCATCACTGATGCAGATGAGCATCACTGATGCAAGTGAGCCAAAATTTCCATTCAATTTGGCCGCTTCCCAAACTGGGGTAACAGGCGAACAGGAACCAGCAGCAAGCAACTGAAAACTGGTATAAACTGTTATAAAATCTTTTGCCCAGAAATAAAATTTGGTATAAACTGTTATATTTGATTTTATGCATTTATACCTTTTTCCTGCCTGCAACAACCACTTGATTGCAACAACAACCCCTTTACAACAACATCCCTACGACAGCCCATCCAAATTTCCAAAAATTTCCATGCAAATTGCCCGTTTCCCAAATTGGGGTAACAGGCGAACAGAAACCAGCAGTAAGCAACTGAAAACTGGTATAAACTGTTATAAAAAGTCCAAGTTTCAAACCATTTAGAAGCCGGCGCAAGTTAGCGGAGACTCAAACCTTTTGAATCCAAATTTAGGTTTAACGACTATCAGTTTCAGTGTGACCAGGTGTAGTTGTAAAATAACACCTAAATTTGAATTCAAAAGGTTTGAGTCTCCGCTTACTTGCGCCGGCTCCTAAATGGTTCGAAACTTGGACTTTTTATAACAGTTTATACCAGTTTTCAGTTGCTTGCTGCTGATTTCTGTTCGCCTGTTACCCCAATTTGGGAAACGGGCAATTTGCATGGAAATTTTTGGAAATTTGGATGGGCTGCTGTAGGGATGTTGTTGTAGAAAGGTTGTTGTTGCCATCAAGCTGTTGTTGTCGGCAACAAATAGGTATAAATGCATAAAATGAAATATAACAGTTATTCAAAAGGTTTGAGTCTTCGCTAACTTGCGCCGGCTCCTAAATGGTTTGAAACTTGGACTTTTTATAACAGTTTATACCAGTTTTCAGTTGCTTGCTGCTGATTTCTGTTCGCCTGTTACCCCAGTTTGGGAAACGGGCAATTTGCATGGAAATTTTGGGAAATTTTGATGGGCTGCTGTAGGGATGTTGTTGTAAAAAGGTTGTTGTTGCCATCAAGCTGTTGTTGTCGGCAACAAATAGGTATAAATGCATAAAATGAAATATAACAGTTATTCAAAAGGTTTGAGTCTTCGCTAACTTGCGCCGGCTCCTAAATGGTTTGAAACTTGGACTTTTTATAACAGTTTATACAAGTTTTCAGTTGCTTGCTGCTGATTTCTGTTCGCCTGTTACCCCAGTTTGGAAAGCGACCAAATTGAATGAAAAATTTTGCTCACTTGCATCAGTGATGCTCATTAGCATCAGTGATGCTCATCTAGCTATATTGCAATATTGGTGGGGGCAATAAAATCGAGCTTAATGGCAGTGATTTGCATCTAGCTATTTTGCTAAGTTTTGTTAAGCATAGAAAAGGCAACTCAGAACAGCTTTCCAAATTGAATTTCATGCGTTTTTGGCCGAGTTATGAGGGTTTTTCTCATTTTTTGTTGATATTTTTTATATATTATAGGTAAGTATTTTAGCAAAACTGAGTATGCAGTTTTGTTAAGCTTAGAAAGGCCAACTCAGAACAGTTTTCCGAATTGAATTTCATGCGTTTTTGGCCGATTTATGAGCTATATAGCAAAATAGCTGGATGAGCATCACTGGCAGTTAGTGGCAAAATTAAAAAATTAAAGCATACTTTTGGGGATTTCTATTAAAAACGTGGCATCTTTTAGGCGGAAGTTCAGATTACAATTTGACAAGCATTCATCCCCGCCCAAAAGTATGCCTTACTTTATATTTTAATCAAAGACTTAAAAATTCAGCCCAAAAGATGTCAAGAAAAATACGTGGACCTGCATTCATCCCCGCCCAAAAGTATACCTTACTTTATATTTTTTTTTATCAAAGACTTAAAAATTCAGCCCAAAAGATGCCACAAAAATTAACAAATAATATTTAAAGATGCCTAAAAGTATGAAATTTTTTTACTTTTTGATTTGAACCAGAAAAATAAAAGAAAAATTTGGAAAACGCCTTTTAAAGCGGCAATAAAACTAAGAAAATAATTAAAATACACTTATGAGGGTTTTTTATAAATTATAGGCATCTCACTAACTGCCAGTGATGCTCATTTCATTGTTCTTATATAGGAAAAATAAAATAAAACAAAATAAAATAAAATAATGTATTTCATTGTTTTTATTTAAGTTCATTAACATGGAATAAAATAAAGTATTTTAAAATTAAAATGTTGCTTGTTGTGTTCGTTAATGTTGTTGTAAAAGTAGCCGGCAGACCTGACTGGCGGTGCTCTCTCCTTATCCCTGATTCCTGATCCCTGTTCCTCCGTTCCCATCCCTTATCCACCATCCTTTTGCGTGTGTCGTTGGTCCTTTCTCTTGGTTCTTGGCCGGGGTGGGTGTCAGGTCTACTGATACTGATGACTAGGAGCGATGGCGATGGCAATGACGATGGAAAGTCTGTAATTGAAATGAGAAAAACAAAAAATTAAAAACTAAACAAGGCATAACTCTGTCAAAAATGCCTTAATTTGCATTCGGAAAGCGGTGTTATGTTAGTTTTTACAAGGCTAACAAATCTGCATACTTAGTTAGAAATTGAAAATTTTATCAAATTTTGAGAATTTTAATGATGTAACCCCTTATAAAATTTTGAAAAAATTGATTAAAAATTTTTTTCTTCTGGACTTAGCCAGAAAGATGCGCCTGTTAATGCTGATCAAGAATATATATGGTTTATGGGGTCGGAAATGACTCCCTCAATGCGTAATGAGCTTCGGACTGGAAATAAAATACCCTGCCAGGGTATAAAAATTATAGCTTCGTTGTTTTTCAAAGTATGCTTATCTACTCTCAGATATTAGCTTTTTTTATTATTCTAGAATAATATATATAAATTTTATAAAAATCGGACAACTATATCATATAGCTGCCATAGAAGCGATCGGTAAATGTATAAAATATGTAAAGTTGGGAATGTAAAACTGAAACTGTCAAACTGTATACATGTAACAGGAATTTTTAAGCAATGTTTTGCACCATTTTATCTATGTCTTGAACCCAGAGTCCTAAAACAAACGATTCTTCTATCGATGATATTTTAAATTAAGCTAACGTTTCAAGACATGTGTTTGTCTCTTCAACATTTTATGAACAATTTAATAAAGTCTTCTTTATAATGCTTCTAAAATATATGTTTAAAAATATCGATTAGTTATTTTCTTCGTGACAAACGGCAGCGATAGTTGGGAACAGTGCGATTTTCCAATCGGCGCGCTATCGAAGTTTTGCCAGTTCTAGGTCACACTGTTGACAAAAATCTGGGCCGGATCGACGAGAATTTTTAAAAGTTATTATATGAGACTGGCCACAGGATATCGGGGAGCAGGAAGTGACTAGAAGACTTCACTTCAATTCGTGTTATCAACACACCGTAATACCCTGCAGCGGAAGCAACTAGAGCAGCCATGTCCGCGTTCACAGAGTCGGCGCTCCTAAAGAAGCTGGCCGAGCTGAACAGCAGCCAGCAGAGTATCCAGACGCTGTCCTTGTGGCTGATTCACCACCGCAAGCATAGTGCGGCGATTGTGAAGACCTGGCAGCGGGAGCTGGAAAACGGTACGTACTGAATATCTGTGGAGTTTCCTGCACCGGTTACATAGCAAGTCACCTCCCCTTCCACCCCTTACTTAGTGTCGGAGCCCATGAAGAAGCTGACGTTCATGTACCTGGCCAACGATGTCATCCAGAACAGCAAGAAGAAGGGGCCAGAGTACGGCAAGGAGTTTAGCCATGTCCTGGCGAAAGTCTTCTCCCACATAGGCGAAAAGTGCAGCACGGATAAGCTGCTCGGTAGCTTGGGCCGCATCCTCAACATCTGGCTAGAGCGGGGTGTCTACGATCCCAAGGTTATAGCCGATTGGCGGTCGCGTCTCAATCGGGAAGGTAGCAGCAATGGTGGCAAGTCCAATGGCGAATCGAACAAGACGGAGACCAAGGATTCAAAGAGGGAGGAGAAATCGGAGCGACGGGAGAAGCGTAAGCACGAGGATCGTCACTCCAAGTCAAAGCGTCAGCGGCATCATCACCACAGCAGCAGTGCCAGCTCCTCCAATCATGCTGCAACAGCGGCAGCGGAGGAGAACATTGTTGCAGAGCAGCCAGAAAATGGCCACACCCCGCCTTACCTGCCACTGGGTGAACCACCAGAGCCCGAGGAGCTAATCAAGGCGCTAACCAGTATCGAGAACTCCGCCTCCAGCGATGCGGTGGTTCGTGAACGGATTGCCAAGCTGCCCCAGGAAATATCAGAGATTAGCTGCATCAGCAAATTGGAGGACAAGGACAAGGCCAAGGCCTTGGCCCTGCAGGTGCGTGGGATAAATAATAAACTTTATATCTGCAATCTGTATAAACCTTTCCCCTTGCAGGTCAACGAAGCTGTGGACCTGCTCAATGATTACAATGCTCGTCTGGCGGCCGAAATGGAGGAGCGCACCAAACTGGCCACCATGCTGCGTGACTTTCAGGCAGAGCAAAAGGAGCTGCTGTCCCAGGCAGAGCAACGCCTCGATGTACGTTTAGCAGGGCATTTATATGGGGTTGTAACTTAGGAGGGGCTATACATGTAAACGTCTAAGTTTTGTCAGTTTTCGTCAATCTTTTCTTTAGGAAATAGTCTAGTAATCATTGTGAAACCTTGAAGACAGGTAAAAGTGGGTTAAGATATGATTTACAAATTTATAAATAATATTTTACAAAATGTAATATACGCCACAGTGCCTCGATATTTGAGTTTTAAAGCTGGTAATTCGTATCGGTAATCCAATAACCAAATCTTTGTTGTATTTATTATACGTTTATCTTCTATTTGAACCTAAAAAAACCAAAATAAATGAAAACAAAATAAAATTAATTCATTTTTTAACAAATATTTCAATTTTCCGAAAGTCAGGTTTTTCTTCATAGTTCCTTTTAACAAAATTTACGTTAAAATAGAAGATAATTTCATGCTGATAATAATAGTTTTTGATTCACTCCGATATGTGGCATAGTTTTTTGTGAATCGTGTTCCCTAACATCGGTAAAAACGCAAAAATTAAAAGTAGAGAGAAAGCAGTATAAAGTTTTTAACGTTAACACTCGTATGCCTTGCTTAAATAGTTGATTTGAGGCACTTCCCATTGGGGATTGGATAGTAAAACACAGTATATTCCATAAATAATAAACTATTTGTTAAAATTTTGGTTTACATGTATATTCCCCCAATAAACTGTCCTAAGACCCTTCCCTATCTGTCATAGAGAAGAATTACTTTCTCTAACTTCTTCCTTACCTTGCCTGTTTGTTATTAGTTATTTAGTTATTGATTTTGTTAATTAAAAACCTAAAAATTAAATATAAATTTAATTACTTGTTTACCTTGCAGGAACACAAGAAGAAACTGGCCAAGATGCTGGGCCTGCAGAAGGAGATACACGACCATCTCTCTAACCTGCCCGATCTGACCCAATTGCCGGATGTGACCGGTGGACTGGCGCCCCTGCCCTCCGCTGGCGATCTCTTCAATGCCCTGCACTGATAACCACAACTGAAAAAGAAACCACTTAAAGTCAACCCTAGCGTTTATACTATTATATATATATTTGCAATTGTCCCCCGTACGAGCACCATGTCCTAAGCCCGCATCCACTGATTGTAATCCCCTTTAAAACACACACTAATGACGGTTAAATAGAGCATATAATTGCAAGCAAAAACTGAATACAGAATCCAATCTAGAGTAGAGTTAGTGCATCACGTAGTTGGCAGCTCCCTGCCATTTTTCGGTGAAGGATATTATGTCTGCCACGCCACTGCCTGGCGACATTTTCACGGCCACCGAGAACTTGCTCCAAACATCGCGATTCACTTGATTGCTCGACCCCTGAAAGGTGACTGGGTGGCGACCCAGAACAGGGAAACCACTCAGCATGCAGGGCAAGTCATTGGAACCCAAGCTGGACTCGTACAAACCACGATCATCGGTGGGCAACTGCTGGTCCACCTGCTGATCCATGCTCACTGCAAGCACCCATTCGCGCACCTCTTCGTGCAACTGCGGATCGTTCTTCAGGTGTATGTCCTCGGGCAAGGGCACGGAGCTGGGAAAATCAGTGCTAGCCAGATCGGAATGATCCACCAACTGGCCAGAGCCCTCTTCGATGGCCTCGCACACATCCAGGTAGTGATTCAACATGACAAAGGCCTCCGACTCGCGACCTGCCTGGCGGAGATCCATCCCAGCTTCGTAGAAACCCTTGTCCACCGGAAGGAGATCCGTGTGCCTAAGGAGGGCCAGCGATAAGCGCAGAGCCACCGGCTGGAGGGACTGCACCTCCTTACACACAGCCCGGGTGGCATAGTAATGGGAAATCAATAGGAACTGCTCCAGGCTGCTTGTAAATGGGGATTGAGCCTGTTCCGGTGAAGCCTTAAGAGACTGCAGCAGCCGGAAAAGAAAGTCCCTCAGCTGACGCCACAGAGTACCTCCCTTCGACTGCTCCTCTCTGAGAGCCAGGCAATCCAGAGCGATTCTGGTGTAGATATTAAAGTGGGCCTCAATGGGAGGAGCTCCATAGCTCAAGTACAGCCCCAAGGCAGTGCTGGAGCTTCCCTCGCGAATGAGTTGGGCAGCGTAAACCGCCACATACTTTTGCAGCACGGCGGGATTCAGCTGCTTGGCCTTCTCTAGGCAACGCTGCCACTGACCCTGCTCCGCCAGAAGATCTAGAGCGGAAACTATGTCTATGTCCGCCAGCTGCTCGATGTTGCCCTCGTGCTTCAGGCACGACTTTTGCTGCTGCTCCACGTAGGCCAGCAGCTGAAGATCGGGATCGATTTCCTTGGCCAACCGGCGGGCCTTGCTCCACTGCTCCGTCTTGATGAACACATCCACCGCCTGCTTGGGCATATCCGCGGCCAGGTAAAGCTGTGCCGCCGGTCCAATCTGCTTGATGGCCAGCAAACGGGGTCCCAGGGACTGGGCCAACTCCTGGGCATCCTGACCCTCCAGGAACTGATTGCATATCTCGGCGGCTCTGAGAAGAGCTCGCTCCAAGGTGGCCGCATCCTCGGCATTGGACGAATCAATTTGCATGAGGCACTCGGCTGCCTTGCGGAACTGCTCCTTCTTGGCAAACTCGGCGGCCTTTTGCAGGTAGGCACGTGAAATGGAGGCGGAATCCTCAACGGACTGCGCCTGAGCCTGAGCTCCTCTTTGGAGCTGGGCCTGCAGGCGCCTCAAGTCATTCAAGGCCGCCGGATAATGCTCCTCGGCGATGCGGAGAGCATCTTCGTACAGAGATTCCTGCTTATAGTGCTCCACAATCAAGTCGGGCCTCTGTGCTCGCAAAAGGAGCGCCTCATAGTCCTTGTAGTTACGAGTCTCCAAGGCAGATGCAGCCTGCCCTATCAGCACCTCACCAACTGCATCCGGCAGATGCATTTCGGCCACATTGAGGGCCGCCTGCCAGTCCCCGGCATGTTGGTACATCAATATGGCCTCCCTCGGCTTGTGGGCTTTCAGGAACTCTGCTTCCGCCGCCTCAAACTTACCCTCATCCTCCAAAGACATGGCTATCTTCAGGTGAACCTCATCTGTGGGTCTGCCCGCAAAGCGACACAGCTCCATGGCGAACTCAAACTGTCCCGAGTCGCAGGCAAAGCCCACGGCTGTGTCCAGGAGACCCAGCTTGCTCAGCAGCCGGACGGCGCTCTCCGTGGGCATGGACTTGGCCCACATGTAGGCCACCTGCTGGCTGGCTCCCTCGGTTCCCTTCTGCTTGGCCACGCGATAGCCATCCTCCCAGCGGCCCGAGGAACAGTACATGTGCACAGCAGATTTCCAGTCCCCGGAGGCCACAAAGTGCATCTCTGCGTTCTTGAGCTTGCCGCGCGACTCTAGCTGTCGCGCCAGATGGAGATGGGTGCTGTCCAGCAGATCCTTGTGGTGGCGTTCCACCAGCCGGATCATGGAGTCGTAGAGCTCCCGCCGCTTGTACATGGCTATGGCCAGATCCGGTTCGTTGACCGCAATAAGGACCTTCTCAGCGTCCCTGTACTTGCCCTGCTCCTCCAGGGTGATGGCCAGCTGGACAAAGAGCTCCCGCAACTGCTCCGACTTTAGATACTTCTCACCGATTACATAGGCCCGCTCCCACTTGCCGTGGCGGTTCAGTAGCTCAATGGCTTCTTTGTGAAGATTGGCTCGCACCAGCATGTCCTCCGCTCCATCCAGATCTCCGGCAAAGGCCAGGTGCTTGGCTAGGTCTACGGCATAGCGTTGAATGAGCTCCGGTTCGTCCAGAACCTTGGCTATTTGGACAGCCTTTCGCCATTGCTTGGCACCCACGGCAGCCTCCAGAGCTTTCTGGGTGGCGCCCGCCTCTATGTAGTGGTTGATGGAGGCGTCCAGCTGCTTGCGGCTCACCAGCCAGTCGCCCCACTCCTCCTCCAGAGAAGTCACCTCCTGTGGGGCCACCACACGTCCCAGTTCCAGGGCTCGGGCATAGGCTCCTCCCTTGCGGTAGAGAGCCAAGGCTGCCTCTGGACGTGACAAACGATGGGCTATGTCCCCGGCCAGTTCGTAGAGCTCGCAGTGAACCAGTCCCTCGGTAACTTGAAGCATCACCTGCTCATCCTGCAGGATGTGCGGCGTCTTTAGGGCTAAACGAGCAGCTCTTGCCGGTTTGTTGGCCTTCAGGAACAGCGACATGGCCTGCTGGAGTTCACCCTGCTCCTCGAGCACTTGGCCAGCCTTCTCCTGCTGCTCGCTGCTCAGGAGATAGTCCATGTGCTGCTGCTTCAGCTCCGAGATCCTGGCATAGCCTCGCCTCTCCGCCAAAGCCACGGCTTCGTCCCACATGCCCAGTTGCTGGTACATCTGCAGAGCAGCTTCGATGTCACCCTGCTCAAGGTAGATCCGTTCAGCCGTGCGCAGATCGGAGCCTAGGAGAGCCATCTTGGCGCGAACCTTAGGACAGAGAATACCTGGTGATCCAGTGGACTCCTCGAACTCGTCTGCCTCCTGGATCATCCCAGCCAGGTAATAGGCCTTGGAGACGTTGCCCAAGGCGGCGTAACAACGCTGAGCCACGCGCAGGTTGCCATCCTCCAGCGATATGATAGCCAGATTGTGCCACATGGCCTTGGCAGCGGGTTTGTCTCCCAGGGATTCCAGAAAGTGGACAGCTCGTCCGAAGTCACTGTCATTGACAGCGGTTCCAAACTCCACCAGACCCTCGTCCAGCTGGTAGCTGTGCTCACTTGGTCCGTCCTGGGAACGGACTACAGTGCGACCCTGAAAGAAATCCAGGTGTCAGGTATAAACCGGAATTTTTACTCCTTATTCTCTTTACTTACATTCTCGCGCAGCACCTCGATGGCCTCACCACGGACGCTCTGCAGGGTCACATGCTCGGGGAGATCAATGTTGTACCAAATGGCCAGGTTGGCGTTACTCTGGGCCACCACAACATCGCTTTGGGGCACCCACTGGACGAAGGATATATTGCTCAACAGGCTCTGCTTTTTCCCTGTGTAATTATCGACCAGAATAAGGCGCAGCTTCTTGTCCCGAAACAGAAGCTTGTGGGCCGTCTCGCTCAATTCCAGCCAATCGATCTTGGTCTCGTGGTTGATCTGGCCACTGGTCAAGCGACTCACCAGGTCCACCACGCAAATGGTCTTGGCATCCAGGAGAAAGGCCAGCTTCTTGTTCTCCCGTCCGTTTCCTCGCTCGTTGAGTCGCACGGAGATCACATGGGGATTCACAAACTCTGTCCGGACAGATCCCAGAATGGCATTGTCTCCGTACTCCACCAGGCTTAGTTCGCCGACATTGAAGACCAAACACACGTTGGGATTCTCAAAGTAGAAGCGTTCGTGGTGACCAGAGGCTGTCCAGGGCACTTCGCTGCTCAGATTGCGGGTCAGATCGCACAGTATTAGAGATTCCTCTGTGCGGGCCACCAGGTAATTATCCCTTCCCATTATCCTCACATCATCAATCTCCAGGCCCAGTTGCGACTCGATGGTCAGCTGTTGCGAGGGCTCTGTTAGGGAACGCACCAAGAGTTGACTGGGCGCCACGAAGATCAACTCAAACTTATCCTGCCACACGGTGCGTCGCAGCACAGACTCAAAGAGGAGCACTGCCCCGCTGACAGAGCCTAAAGCCAGGCGGGCACCATCTCGACGCCACAAAAGCGAGCTGAGGGTATACAGGCAGGCCACTTCCTTGCTGGCGCTCTCACTCCAGGCTCCCTGGCGCGGACTCCAGGCAAAGATGCGGATGCGGTCGAAGCTGCCGAAGGCCACTGCCTGACCATTGGGACTACAGGCGGCTACCGTGAACTCCCGCTCGCCCTCGGTTCGGGAATGATCAAAGGTGCGCAGCTGGCGGCCCTATTATTAGTAATATATTGATTATTTCTGAAGGTAAAACCCAGCAAGACATCTAACCATGCTGTCGTAGAAGATGATTCGCTGATCGCAGCCGCCGGCGCAGAATCCTCCCTGCGGCCAGGCCAGGGCAAAGGGCGGAACCGGATGCTGTACCACTCGGCCCAGGGGTTCGGTGGCTTCGTCCGTCATAAAGTACCGGATAATGGTGCCATCATTGTGGCCACTGAGGAAGCCAGTGCCCTTAGTGTTGGCGGCCAGGGAGATGCAGATGCTATCGCCGCCATACAGGCTCTGCGACTTGTTGCTTTTGCTGTGCAAGGCGCGTATCTTGCCATCCTCGAGTCCTTAGATTTAATAATTAATTATTCATTTAAAAACTAACTTAATAAAATTAATTCACCTGCTATTATGGCTCCCGAGGTGAGCCATATTAGGGCAGTGACCGCACTGGCCTGTGGAAACTTATTACAGATCACTTTCTTGTCGTTCCAGGACTCGCCCAGCTTGTAAACATACACAATGCTATCACTCTGACCCACCGCCAGCCGGGTGGAGTCCGGACTGAAGGCCAGGCCACGTATAACATACGAGTTCTTGCCGTTTGCAGGATTCGCAGGCTTTGTGCTGAACTTGTCTCGCCTTTCGCCGGCATCATCGTACAGCAGGATGTGCCGATCGGCGGTGGCTATGGCCAACTTCTGTTGGTTGGGTGACCAAGCCAGGCCAGCAATGCGTTGGATTTGCTCCTAAACATCATTTTGTTTAGGGTTTCATAGGGTTTTGTCAAACAAAACAAATTTCACAAGAATAGGAAATGTGGATTTCAGGATATTTTCAAGCCTAAGGCCTAATTAACCTTTTCTTTTTAGCTCACCTGACCCTCCAGCAACGTTCGCAGGTATTTTAACTGCATTTTATTATTTCTTTTATCTATATTTTTTATTAATCTCTTTAAATCGTAAATGTTCCCTCTTAATCAACAATTTTCAATTGAAAATGTGTTAATTTTTCATTGTGTTGTGGCCCTATGTAGTTGTTGTGGCAACCAGGAGGCCGCCCCGGCAACCACCAATTCCCATCCGAAACCCTCCCCCTTCATGTTTCCTGCGGTGTTGTGTCTATTTTCTCGGCGCTTCCGCTTTGCGGTGCCATTCTAAATAAATGGCCTTTGTTTTGGAGATGCAGCAGGTGCCGGGCCTGCCACAGGATGGGCCAGGATGTGGACCTGCCTTACGAGTGGCAGGCAGGCATTAAGTGGGGGGAGCTCGAAGAGAAGCCACTACAAAGCTGTTGCTTGCTCTGCACAGAACAGTGCTGACTAGATTCTGAGAAAAAAATAAGCTAATGATGAAAAAAAAATGTTTAAATATCGAGCAAACATACATTTTCATGTTTTTGAAAGTTTCGAATAAAATAAATAGGTTACTAATTCAATGATTTTATAATTTTCTTTGATATTTAAATTTGTATAGCTTCTTATCGTATATATAACATAAATTTTAAGACTTCCTACTATTAAATATCCCAGGTTGTGTTTAAATCAAGCTAAACTGGCAACACGGCGTGTGGGAAATGGTGGAGGGGGAGTTGTCCTAGTCCTGTGCAGAGAGCTAGAGAGACGGCGCATGTCCTGTAGAGAGCGGAGAGCGAGAGCTCTTACAGGTGTGCTAACAGAGCGGTAAAGAGAGCTCTTGATTGTGGTGGTGGTAGTATGAAGTACGGGGGTTACCGAATAGGTATAAATTCTAGTGACGCCATCTACACGGTTTATTTTTTGAGGGTATAAGACATTTTATAGCTAAAAACTTCTATGCATAATTCACTATACAAACAAGAAGCAGAGTATACTACTTATATACCCATATAAAAATCACTGCTTTATTGTTTTAGTGGTATAAGAAGATTCTTATACAAAACAGTGCAAAAACAAAGAGCAGAGTATACTACTTTCTGTTATACACCCATATAAGAATCACTGCTTAATTCTCTTTAGTCGTATAAGAAGCTTCTTATAAAAAGAGCAAAAATATGCTAACAAATTTAAAATATTAGAGTCTACAACTTTCTGTTATATACACGTATAAGAACCATTATAAATGTTATTATAAAATGTTACATGTATACATAGAAGTATCTTGTATTAGAAGCAGTTTCTACTACTTGCTGTTCTATATTCGTAATAGAAACGGTTAAAACGAAGACTATAATATCAAAATGAGTGACGCTACACGGTTTATTTTAAAGCATTCTAGATCTGTACCCACATGGGAGTTTATTATATTTTAGATTTTAACGATAGCGAAAAAGGCGAAATATGGTCGCTTGGAGAAAAATGCCTTTAATTAAGCTATTCAAGTTTTTGTTGTTGCTTGCGTCAGCCTGTATCCTTTTTCGGTCAACTGCTTGAAAGGATAATTGATTGACTCAACTACTTTCAAAAAGGTTCACTGATTGCGCCTGCTTGTATCCTTTTTCGCTCAACTGCCTGAAAGGATAATTGATTTACTTTACTGCTTGCCCTTTCACTGCTTTTTGGCACTGCTTGCCCAATTTCTCCACCTCAAAGGACTTTTCGGAGTCCCGGCAGAAATTTCACCACAAATTTCCCCAGTCTTATGCTCTCAGTAAAGCTCATCAGTAAAGTTAACTCTCGCGAGCGTTTCTCTCTCGTGTCCTGGCAATATTTCGGCCGCTCTTCGGGAAAGGATGTCCCCGAATCGGATGTCCTGCTCGTCTCTGGGCCAACATCGGCTAACAGGCAGGCAGGCAGGCAGCTGGCTAAGGCTAAAGCTAAGGCGGCTGCTGATTATTTTATTCAATGGCGGAGGCCAAGTCAGCGCCAGCGCCAGCGTGGCTAATGTATGGCCCAACGCATTGTGGCAGGTCAAAGCGGGCAATTCTGTCTCGGCTCTCGGTTTTGGTCTTCGTCCTGGTCCTGCTCTTGGTCCGCCTTTGGCCTTTTGCAGAGCTACTCAGCTAGGCTGCTTTGTGCCAACGCTGCCTGGCATCCCTTTAATGAGTTTCATTAATTAAAGCTACTTTGTTGGCGCTGCCTGTTCTTTTCCGCTCTGTGATGTATTTATGTATGTGTGCTTATGAGGGCATATGTGTGTGCAACATGCAACATGAATTTTGTCCTTGACTTTTAATGGGTTTATGACAAAAGCGCTGCCGCCTCCTCGCACAAAAAGCCGCCCGTCCCTTCCCTGAGAACGTTGCTAATGTGCAGGGCGTTTTCAGATGTGTTCCTATATATACATATAAATGTTTATATATAAACAAGGATATATGTATGTATGTAGAGGATACGTGCGTGTGTGTGGGTAAAAGAGTTGTTAAAGCGGACGTCTGCCGGAAGCTCTTGTGGGTGCCATTTTGGTTCATGTTCCATGCGACGCACGCCATTTTTATCTCAGTTCCTCTTTGGCATGGCCCTAAACCTAAACCTAAACCTAAACCATTCCGCCAGACTTTTGTCTCTAAAACTTGGCTGCTTCCTTTTGGCATTTTCCCCGTCGCTCTGTCATTGTTTCCACGAGGCTTTCCTTTGCTCCTTTTTCATATTAGTCCTGTTGCCGTGGCCAGTGGCGCTGCATTTCAGCTTCAGCTACAGCTACAGCTCCAGCCACATCTTCCACATCCGTTTGACGGCGGCATCTTTCGCCTTGGGCGCGCGGCTTAATTTGTCGACTTACAATTTATAGCTTCTCGAGCGACTGAGATAAGCTCAAGACGCTCTCAATTAGAAATATCTCACTTGGTCTAAAGCACTTGGCCTTCGCTTCGGTCCCATTCTAACCTGTTTGTGTGGCCCTATTAACGCCAAGTTAAAGCAGAATGTCCTGGCACACCCTCGGAAAAGATTTCATCTCTTGGGAAAAATTGCAAAGCTCAGCGAAAATTTAACAATTAATTTCTGTGGCTTTTATTTTAACTTTTACTAAAGCCACAAAAACATTTTCATTTTCTGTGGTTTTTCAAGGATCTTGACCCATAATGGCTGAAGCCGACAAAAGTGGCACTAATTCAGCTTTAAGGCAACAATATGGTTAAAACTCTCACAGCCGCAACTCAAATCTCAGCATTAGTGACTAGCTGCTCCTAATTTTCCAGCAAAAAACCAAAACTTTTCCGTCAACTTTCGCCTCCACACACATACACACCCCTACACTCTCTCAGGGATTTCCCAGACCGTGCGTAGAAATGAAACTGCAACAAAACTCGAAAAGTGAGGCGGCAGGAAGTACGCGAAAAATAACAGCAGAACAGCGCCGGCCGAGTGCAAGTTCGAGTGGAGGAAAATGTGGGGAAAGTGCGGAGTTGCAGGGGGGAAAACCAGTACGAGTGTGCTATGCATAATGAATAACATTTTCAAATTAGTTTCCGGTCAGCGGAGATTTTTACGCAGTTTGTCAAGCGCATGAAAGAAAGTCCGCGGGGGTGCCGAAAACAAAAGAATGGCAGCCTGTAAAAAAAAAAAAACCAAAAAGGAAAGCCGGTGAAAATGCGCAATTCGGTGAGAATTTAATGATGAATTTTTTCCACCAAAAATGTAACTGATTTTTGCTCCAAAAAGCAAATGTCAACATCGTTAAGGTGGGATCTTAAAGGTGTTTATAAAGAAATTTAAACTAAAGGTAAATATAAAAGAAATTATTCAACCAGAACTTTTAATATTTAAATTGGTTAACGGAAGGACGGAACGGACCTTGCGTTGGAAGTAAGTATCTATAATAATAATACAGATTCATTTTGCTTTGTATATGTATTTTTCCTTTCTTTAGATTATTTTTAAAACATCTTATATATTATATATAGATAAACATACGTTTTATGGTAATACCAACTTAATTATGCTCAAGAAAACACAACCCCTATAAGTTAATTCTGTAAAAAAAAAAACCAAAAAGGAAAGCCGGTGAAAATGCGCAATTCGGTGAGAATTTAATGATGAATTTTTTCCACCAAAAATGTAACTGGTTTTTGCTCCAAAAAGCAAATGTCAACATCGTTAAGGTGGGATCTTAAAGGTGTTTATAAAGAAATTTAAATTAAAGGTAAATATAAAAGAAATTATTCAACCAGAACTTTTATTATTTAAATTGGTTAACGGAAGGACGGAACGGACCTTGCGTTGGAAGTAAGTATCTATAATAATAATACAGATTCATTTTGCTTTGTATATGTATTTTTCCTTTCTTTAGATTATTTTTAAAACATCTTATATATTATATATAGATAAACATACGTTTTATGGTAATACCAACTTAATTATGCTCAAGAAAATACAATCCCTATAAGTTAATTCCAATAAAAGCAGAGCTCCACAATTTATTTCCAACCAATAACATTTAAACTCGGAACCAGAGCCCTTCGTTTGCCCTGAAATTATGGTCCTCCTCCGTCAGGATATAATTATATGCTGCTAACGTGCAATCAAGGCGATTGCCATAACAATAATAGCAGTGACAAGGGGGAGGTAGGTGAGTGTGGAGCCTAGGTCAATCATTTAACAAGCCCCCATGGAGGAGGAGCAGGAGGAAAAGCCGAAGAAAGAGGGACGGAGGTGGCCCCCGTGTAAGCAAGCAGAACGTAAAAATACAAAAAAAGAAAGGAGAGGAGAGAGGAGAGGCATAATAATGTACATAAATGCCTACATCTGGCCATTATAATGGGAAGTATAGCAACACGGTGGAGCCCTGGACTGGAAATATTCCGCCTGCTGCCGGCATAATGAGATCAAAATATGCTTCATCCTCCTCCGTCTGGTATCTACAACAGCTCTTGGCCTTGGCCGTACCCACTGACTGTGTAAAGGCAACAATTTGCGTTTAAAATTGGCACAACAATTGCAAAATAATCACCTCGGAGAGCTGGAGAATTGTGCGCCATGGAAATGGACTCTGCACTCAA